AGATAGTTGTAAAGACCATGACGTCACAGACGGGAAGCTTGCAAGATAGATGCCCTCCGTACATCATAAGGTTAATAAGAGGGCTCCCGAACTAACGATGCCGCTTTGTCAACGCGCCTTAACCCGCCGGCGCCATCTTGCGCGCCATGTTGGATTTCAATCTGCTTAGAGCTTAATGAATTTGCGTCTATTGATTTTGTTTAACCCCTTTTTGTTTTGCTTAATTAACCTTTCTGTGTAGAAAAGCAGCTGAGACAAGGGAGTTGAAGGTTACACTGAAATGTTTGTTTTGTAGTTCGAAAATTAGGGTTCCATTAAAAAGGTGCGCTTCTAATTTAAGTAATTAAATACGATTTTGAAATAAACACAACTGAAACTTAAGTCAATAAGGCATTATTGACAGACTATTTATCACACAAATACAAAAATAATAATACAATAAGTCAATTGACAGAACAACGGACGCGAACGATTTATGAAAATTGCTCGTCGCATTTAGAGTTAACAGCGCTTCACTCATCATACGAATACATTAACACCGTTTAAAGGTGCACCGAAAGCTCGAATCGCGTCATACAAAAGCCTGCACGGTGCGGGAGGGACATTTAAAATTTACAAATGCGTAATTATGCACCCGCATTGTCGCGGCGCGGCAAAAGGGTTACACGCGAGCTTTCTTCCCACCCCTTCCTCTTACTCCCGGCTTCCGAGCCTAATGCTATATTTAATTTTCTCTAAGGCTCTCTCATTAATAATACGAAGGTTGCGACTTAAAGTGGCGCTTACACGACGATGTCAGAACAGAGATATACGAACCGAAACTAAATATGATATCTAATATATTTTAAAAGAGCATTTGTATATCGAGGAGTTAGTATCTTTTGCTGCCTAAGACCCAGCCGTCACAGAGTAGTACAGAGTACAAAGGCGGGCAGGAGTTTCTTACTTCTCACAGACACACAGACAGACCAATTGTGAAGCCTTGCTAGTGTTAGCCTACTCCTTTGGAATTTTTAGCCATTAATCCTTATAAGAATTCTTAGCTTATTGCGACCCGGACTGAAAATTCCTTGCGTAATAAAATCAACAAGATTTCTTCAGAGCCATCTGCGTTCAACGGACTTCCACCAATTGAATTCGGATGCCAGTGGATGTTGATGGTGCTAGTGGAAGGTTCAAGACCGGCCTAAGACGTCTCTGCGCCTTTCCTGGCCAGTTCACCCGTTATTTCGTTTGTCTCTATACCACCCTACCCAGCACCTAACAAAAGGTTAGCCTATTAGGACTATCCAGCTTGTTTAGAGTTTCGTAAACACAAAACAGATTCTACATCAAAAATGACTTTTACAATAAAATATACCACATCCACTTTAACAGATTTCACGGTTTAAAGTTTTGTATCTATAAAAGCAGCGCGTGAACGTGAGTGTGGATAATTTATCATGATTTCGAAAGGGTTATTGGTACCCGTTAAGAGGGCAGGATTGTGCCTCCGTGACAGCCACGGAGCGCGGAATTTACATTTTCAAGTGCGTTCTAAATTGTTTCTAGAACGGAACAAAGAGAACTTGAACGATGCCTAAGCGGTTCAAGTTACTGATCTCTTTATATGGAACTGTTATATCAAACGTTGTCGCGAATAACTACGTGTGTGAATTGCTGGAACTGTCCATAGATTGGTACGATTATTTATTTCTTTTGCAATTACAAAGCAGATTTTTTAATTAAATACCTATATTTTTTTATTGCCCTTGTAGCCAGAAGAACATACGGGCCACCTGATATGAGAGGTTACCGTCACCCATAGACTTCAGCAATGCCAGGGGCAGAGCTAGGCCGCTGCCTATCGCATTTATGGCTTACCCTTTATTTTATTGCGTAGATGAGTGGAAAAGCTTATGATCGACCTAGTGTTAAGTGGCTAACGGAGACGAAAAACGTAAATGCCATCACCCACCTTGAAACATTCATTCTAGATCTCAGTCTTTATTGTACAACGGCAACCTCGTTCTTCAAACCGAAACGCATTACTGCCTTGCGGTAGAAATAAGCAGGTCGGTGGTACCTACCCATGCTGGCTCACAAGACCATCTACCTTTTACATCGTAAATAGTTCATAAAAATATTTTCTTAATTTTCACACTTTTAATTTTTTGCAATTCAATAACGATTTAATAACTAGAGACTCTGACCTTGCATTTTAAGATCGATAGCGACATTTACGTTGTAGATGTCTACAAACTCTGGTAACCACATAACGTCAGGACCTCTTGTGAGTTCCTTAACGCATTTAAGAAATTAAAAAACTGCAAAAAATTGTTATTTTTAGAAACCACTGTAACTGAAGCCTTCGAAAGAGATCAGTCAATGTCGCCCTACAGTTAGCAAGGCAGGGAAGTGTCTCAAACGTCGTTACGTACACGTACGGTGTCAAAGCGCTGTAACTTAATTATCCACCTACGACACGGCGCATCGAGTGACGACACTCCAAGCGCCTGCACACGCTCTCTGTACCATAATTGTTAACGTGTTAACGTTTGAAATGTATCTTGTAATAATTATTAATAATTCTTCGGTTTTCGCGAATGATAGACTAAAACTAAAATTAAAAATTAAAACTATATGATTTATCCTCGCGCTTTCATTTGTTTATGAAATGTGTGTAAACCTAGTTACTAGAACTATAGTACCTTCATGGTCACGGACTACGAAGGTGTTTTTCGTCGACATTTCAATATCGTGCAAGCTACCGTCTTTTTTTTTTCTATAAAAAAAATTTCTAGATTCTTACGTTTAATCTCAGACAAATGTTCGAAATAATAATAATAATGTAATGAGTAATAATAATAATAATAATAAAACATTATCGTACTACTTCATCGTTCGATTTGGCTTTATGATGGGTAGTTTGATTTTACAACATAATTTTAAACGTTCACTTGTTTAACCGACTTCAAATGGAAATGAGATCCGCACAGTTCGACCTGTTTGCTTACTTTTTTCAATTGTTTTTTTAACACTAAATCAATTTGCATAATATTTTTAATAATAGATATTTTTTATTTGTTTTGATAATTTCAAGTGTATTTCGACAGAAATAGGCAAAGTTTTCGTATTTACCCGTACGTAGGGTTGTAATACTCCCTTTTTTATGTAAGGGAATCGAATTTACGAATACCCAGCCGATACGTTATAAGAGCACTCCCTACCAACAGCAATTAGGCAAAATTCAACTTCAACGGGTCTTAGTTTTTATTTCTAGATGTTTTTCCTTCATTGTAGAAGTCGTTTGTGAACATAATAATCCATTTATATATTTCATTAGAAAAACAAAAGATATTTAACAACGCCATTGTTGTATTGTTCGATGCGAGTACAACGCGTCTTGTCACAAAGACGCCGATACTCAAATAGGTATATTTCTTTCTAACAAAAAGCGTTTTAACACAAGCTTCTTGCTTTGATGATGATGGACCCATAAAATTCTTCGTCAGTTACTTTGGCCCTTAGGAGTGAAATTACGAATAATTCTTACTAATAGATTATTCTGAATTTTGCCCCGAATATGCAGAATGCAGAATAATCATTTTCCTAGCGACAACGGCATAGGTTCTGCTTTATTAAGCAGTCAGTTGAGACAAGTTAATACAATATCCGTACAGATGTTGATTTACCATCAAATCATTAAGCACAACAACAAAAACATTTACAAATAAAAAAAGTACATCGAAACAAGCTTCCTAAAATATCTTAAAACGTATTATATTTCGCAGACAGGGTAATATAGCAGGGGTGTTTATTAGGTGCAAGTGAAGGAGCGATGCCTAGCGACGCCCCGTAGCGACGCCGGCGACTACGCTCCGCTCAATATTGAAAGCAATTTTAAACAGGTGCCATATTTGTAACACGTGTCTGCTTCTGACTTAATGTGTACAGAATCCATTGAGCTATTCCGATTTTTTATTATTTTAATATACATACAGCTATGAAGGTATGGTAATGCATTATTGAATTACGATCGGCGAAATAATCAGCGGTTTTTAAATTCTAAGGAAGGAATTCTTTAATAAAAATACAGTCGTCTAAAAATATGATAATATAACATATTGTTTTAAATTCTTAACATTTAGATAAACTGTGTTATAATCGTGATAAAAAAATCGTCATCACACAAAATGAAGTAGTATCTATATGTCCTTGTAACCAAATCACCCACCTCACAGGTGTCAAAAGAGGGATCTAAATTGATAATTAATTGTCACGCAAAACTTCTCGACAAAATTAAATACCCTTTTGAAGCGGACGCGAGCTACAACGGTCCCCGCTGACAATTTAATATCAGTTGGATCCTTTGGAAACGGGAAGAAGGGCGACTAGTCGACCGAATATTTCTGTATATATCCGCAGTAACGGACTGTCTACGCAGAAATTGATATTCTTATATTTTTATTTTTGTCATTTGAGAAGTTTGTACGTGTTAAATGTGTTGAACAAGATACTTCCGACTTAAAGGACAGATACGAATTTTGATTTTGATGGATATCAAAGAGTTTTAATAAAAGTCAAATAATCCAAAGCGTCAATTAATATATTACATACCTACACTAATTTTTTATAAACTTTTGTAGAAACTGAAATTCATAATTTTACAGAATTTTCAACTAAAACACCTTTTACGATTTAATCCCGCTTTTTTAATTGTCAGTATATTAAATCGTCTCGAATAGTACTTTACAGTTTTTGTAGTTACGAACGATCGTTTCGTAAAAGTAGTTTTAAAACACTGAAAACAATGACTAGTGTTTTATTGTATTCAGCTTCCACTTGTCGCACATATATCCAATACATTACAGCATTCGTTAGCACAATGTTTTAATGTCCCTTACAATATAACACTTTAGTCGTCGTGACCAATCCGGTCAATAAAAATAGTGAGATTTTTATTGACGGTATTTTTAAAGACGAATTGTCAAAATCAAATCAAATGACACTTTCCCTTATCACTTACCTGACAATTTAAAAGGTAGTGATCCCATCAAAGGATCCGGAGCAAACCTGGGCCCGAAATGGAAAGGATGGAAACCGTGGTGTCGAGTCTTGGACCTCGGCTCTCTGGGGCCGTCGACCGTGACTTTGATGGCTTTTTGGTACGTCGCGACTTGCGGAGGAGAAGTTGCCAGCATTATCGTTAGAGTAAAAGATTTCCCTGCGAAATAAAACATTTAAATATTAACATAGCACCAGATCAATACAATACGGTGAGGTATTTCGTAAAAAGATTAACTCACGATCCAAGGGTCATGTCAAACGGCAACCTTTTTTTTATCCTACCTAAACTGATGGTCTAGAGAGACCATATCAGCGTAACCTCAAGTAGTAGGTGAGCTCACAGGGCTCAAACCTGACGACGTTGCTAACACGAACCCTAGCAGGAGCCTTGCTTCGCAGAACCTACCACCGGATCGGAGACGCGACCCACGGATCTCACCCTGAGATATGAGATCAAAAACTCATTAGAAAATTTCGTTGAAGAACCGCGTTCCTACAGTTAAAATCGGAATGTATTAATGCTTCGTGGCAGATTAACATTATATATGGATACATGGCATTAAAAATAAAGTTACATAGAATCGGGTAGCTCGACTAAGCCGAAACTCGAATATGCATATCTTTTGTTTTATTATCTACTAGGCAAATGACCTAGTTTGTGCTTTGCTAATCTTGATATTAATCTTGATATTAATCTACATATTCTGAAAAGTCTCAAAAATTTTAATTTGCACAAAAAATTCCAATTAAGATTTCCAGCTTATGAATAATAAACAGTAAAAGTGAGGCACGACGTCTGGTGGAAGTAGGGCATTTACTAATATGAGCCCGCACTGTTAGGAACACCACCCTACTTATTTGTGGCCGTGAAGCATTCATGCGTTTGCCGTTTGCGTCTGAAGTTTTAAATCAACTGATAAAACATATTTTTTTTTGTAATCCTCAAATAGTGCAATCGTACCCTAAAAATACTATTACGGGAGATTAAAAAAACAACGCCCTGAACTGCATTAAGAATTCGCAAGTAAATCTTGAAGGGTTATTCCGTCGGCGGTTGATTTGTGGAGCTTGGTGTCAGCCGTGCGAGAATTCCGCGCGCCGTCACGTACCACCACCGCGGAGACGGATGAAAACAAAAAAACAAAAAAAACACGAAATCTTACAATTTAGACTTTGAGCCTAGGGTAAAATACCCAGTAGAAGACACCTTAAGGATTTATTAGTATGTTTATTGACATAGTTTGGTATGGAACCATATTAGAGGGAACTTCTAATTAGTAGTAGCTGCGCAAGTTATTCCCTTTCCAGAATGTAACAAGAATTGTAGCAATAAAACTAATGTATATTTTTATGTTATTTTTTAATAAAATAAAGGTACTATGCTAGTAGTTGACACCTAGTGAAAAGAAATATATTTAGTAGTTGACACTTTTTATTTTCAGTAGTTGACGTAGTTTTTTTTTTATTTTATTTTTTTTCTTAATATTTAATTTTCTTCGTCAAAGTCTCAACTATTGGTGCAGTGTCAACTACTGGTGGTTTTACCCTACATTCCAAAGAATCTAAATTAATAATACAAACCGATTTTAATATCGTGTAGTTAGCCCGGTATCTTGTTGTTTTGTTAAGGTAGAGTTTTTTTTTGTCTTCCAAAGCAGATGTAAAATTGTCGAACCACTGTCTTCCGCGGAAGACTCTGCGATTTTAAACTCAACGTCTTTGATTTTAAACGAACTTTTTCAACACCTCATTTTGTTGCTTAGCAAGGTGAAAGTTCTTTAAGTCACGACGACTTCAATGAAATAGCTCGATGACGGCATATCGATTCGGCATAATGAGACGACGATTGTCATATATGTATACTATACGAGTCTACGATTATAACGCTGAAAAAAAATCGTAGGTATACTCTATCAAAACTTTAGAAAGACAGCTTACTCTTTGCTCTCTTAAAAGTATTCTTCAGTAAAAATTATTAAATATCTAATTTTGTAGGATGTATACAAATTCGTCGAACACTTATTTATAAACAGCAAAAAATGAAAATCTCTAAGCTAATACAACGATTAACAAACCAATTGAAATAATAAGCCCAGACCAAAGTCGAAACCGCGGATCGTTCTATCGTTTCAAAATTAGAACATCGCAGCCAAACATAGTTCTCGTAAATAATCAAGCTCACTAAACATTGGCAGTTTCACGGTCAAATTAGATCCAATACCGAGATCATAAGCAGCAATGAAAACAGGACATGGAAATCAAGTCGTGTTACACTGTGACGCAAATTGAGAATGGAAGGTAGCTGAAATGCCGTCGTTATACATAGACCGCAGAACGGCCGCAAACACGGCGACAAGCGTTTGAACAATCACTGGCATATCGACACACATACCTAATGGTTAATACTGGCGGTTCGACGATTGACACTACAAGCGTTCGTCTGGCTGCTAGTCAATCATTTAATGCAGTTTCAATTAGGTGGCTCGTGCTACGCTCTACGAAAATGTAGATCCGTAGACGTAGCGTAGACTTGACAGTTAAGACCAGTTAAGGCTTAATTAAATTAAGGGAAAAAATGTTGCGCGCTTCCACTTTTCTATCAAATTATATTTCGAATGAAAGAAACATACCGAAATAGCATTCCGTAGTTCCGCGAAACAAAGGGAGACTAGCATTTGCAACGTCTGGCTTGAAGCCAAAAGCCGCGGCGGTGGTCCTTCGGGCCATGAAAACGACATAAACACCCTCCCCCCCCCCCCTCCCAGACACCCACAGACCCAAAATGAGCGGGCGTCCGCTTATTTTCATAAAACCCGCATAAACTCGGCGAGACCTTAAGAGAGAGACCCAGAAATTGTGTTTTCTGAACAAATGTAGGTAATAAAAGTTTTCTAATACCTCAGAGTAGATAAGGCTTTTTAAAAAAAAACACTTAGTTTTTAGATGAACCTTGATCTCATCAGCACTAGTAAGCGATACTACAGTGACTTAGAAAGCACTGTGGAAAATATATCAAAACAGATCATCAGAGTTGTGCTTAGTCTAGAAGCTCACGTAGAAAACTAATCTAAGTACGCGTGCAGTCGTTAAATCCAAAAGGAGTTTCATCTAGAGTGTCCTGGAAAATAAACAGCTTTATGTAGTTCTAAATAAGAATTAAACCTATTTTTAGATATTCCTTTATAGTTAAATTCAGCTATTTGTCCTATATTACAGAAAGGAACTGGCTTTAATTGATCTTCTTATATTTTGTATTAAACGCTTACATGATTAAACTCTAAACGCTTCTAATCTGAAGAAGAATGACATGACATAATTTACTTTGTTGCTAGCTTATTAATGGTTAGCGGCTTCGGTTATACTGATCACTTGTACCATCTCGGCAGTCTTTTTATTTATTTATTTTATTTATTTATTTATGTACACACAGAAAACAAGACACAGTACAGAGTAATAGGAAAATTATGTACAAAGGCACTGCTTATTTCTTTGAGAAATCTCTTCCAGCAGACCTTCGATAATTTCACAATTAAATCAATTGTTTTATCAACCAAAGTTCAGATAGGTCGAAAATAATATTTTATACGAAGTAGACCGTAAATATTTTTCAGGTAAGTAGCGCCATCTATTGACATGGGTCTGAAGCAAAAGTACTATATTAAAACAAATGAGAATGCTTTTAAATCAAGCATTTCTTACTGACTGTAATAAGGTTTGAGACTATGGTGATTTGTGTTATTCTAAGTCAGATCCATACAAACATGACCTTCTGCTTAATAGTGCCATTCATTTTCAACTTTAAGTGTGACCATGTGAATTATTTTCATAATCAACCCGTTTTCTTTGAATTTCCAAGTATCGTAATTTATGAGCTATCTTATGTACGCTTTCACGCAAATTACGCGTTTCACAACACTTATAAAGCCTCCTTCTCCTCTTTTCTATCTAACAAGCTACTATCAGTATCTTTACGCCGGATATAACGTTGCGTTCCTTAAATTCCTCTAAGAACTTAAGCCTGCATTGTCTTGTTTTCTCTTAGAATCTGCTTTTCTCTAGAATGCTGGGTACATCGTGTAATCAGGACAATCACTGATTCTAATATAATCAAATTAAGAGTGCGGTAAAACATATTAGATATATTGGTAGAATCCTCTTAAATTTAATAAGCATATATAGAATGTATAATATATTTAGCCAAGTAATTTATTAATTAAAATCATATATTATGTTTCACAACATCTATCTATTGTATCTATTTATATAATTTTTCAAAATATATATATAGTGTATTACTTGATAATAAATAAATAAAAAAAGCCTTTTATTTCATACAAGTGACATAAAAACAAAAGTTAACGCAATGTGATCTATGCTATTAATTAACTAATAAATAATATGTTTGTTGAATAATATTAGGTATTATTTTCCACTTGCAAGAACCCCTCCTCGAGTAAAAACCTCCTTGATACTTTTCTTAATTCAATTTATCAACTAATTCGCCCACTACATTATTTTCTGCACGGCCCTTAGTTCACAGGTAAAAAATGCCTTAACCATCAAATCTGCCAATGTACACGAATGCATATGAAGTATAACTCGCATAAATAAATTAAAAAATACAATAAAATTAAGTAATGAAACTAAAGTTATTGGCTCTAACTTAAATGTACTGAAGCCAATAAGACAGTGGAACGCGAACCGAACCGAATTGTTTTCGCCATTTTCGGGCTTAGCTAGATTAAAATCAGCTTTATAACGTCATAAAGTAGACGGGGGCTGCGTTAAGATAAGAGCTCTGCTCTCTACGGCTAAATAAAAAATGAGCCACAATCGTAATGGTTCGAGCTCCTTTGATCTCGGTTACAGGGCTTACCGAGGATTTTCGGCTTACTGAACTCCAATTTGGATATAAAATACCGAATACGTACCGATTTGCATTAAAAACATTAGCGAATTTACTTTGAAACGGTACATCGAATCCAAACTCGTTTTGCGCTTCAGCTTGTTAACGTTATAAAAGAAAACTGTACACATTTCCCGCCCCTACCCCCCGACAATAAAACGTGCCTAATACAAGCGAGACACCGTAAAATCCAACTTTATTGAAGCGTCTCAAAAGAACAAGAGGAAAAGTCAAAAGCTGGCACAATTAAA